GAGCCTCACTATCCTCGTAAAAACTCTTCACTGCTTTCAGTAACCTACCTCCTACACCATACACTTTGCAACATCTGCCACATTGCCCCCCTATCCACCCTGTCATACGCCTTTTTCCAAATCCATAAATGCCACAAAGACCTCTTTAGCCTTATCTAAATACTGTTCACTTATATGTTTCACTATAAACACCTGGTCCACACACCCCCTACCTTTCCTAAAGCCTCCTGTTCCATCTGCTATCCTATTCTCCGTCTTACTCTTAATTCTTTCAATAATAACTCTACCATACCTTTACCAGGTATACTCAGCAGACTTATCCCCCTATAATTTTTGCACTCTCTTTTATCCCCTTTGCCTTTATACAAAGGAACTATGCATGCTCTCTGCCAATCCCTAGGTACCTTACCCTCTTCCATACATTTATTAAATAATTGCACCAACCACTCCAAAACTATATCCCCACCTGCTTTTAACATTCTATCTTTATCCCATCAATCCCGGCTGCCTTACCCCCTTTCATTTTACCTACTGCCTCACGAACTTCCCACACACTCACAACTGGCTCTTCCTCACTTCTACATGATGTTATTCCTCCTTGCCCTATACACGAAATCACAGCTTCCCTATCTTCATCAACATTTAACAATTCCTCAAAATATTCCCTCCATCTTCCCAATACCTCTAACTCTCCATTTAATAACTCTCCTCTCCTATTTTTAACTGACAAATCCATTTGTTCTCTAGGCTTTCTTAACTTGTTAATCTCACTCCAAAACTTTTTCTTATTTTCAACAAAATTTGTTGATAACATCTCACCCACTCTCTAAATACTGTTCACATATATGCTTCAATGTAAACACTTGATCTACACATCCCCTACCCACTCTGAAGCCTCCCTGCTCATCTGCAATCCTACATTCTTTCTTACCTCTCATTCTTTCAATTATAACCCTATCGTATACTTTTCCTGGTATACTCAGTAAACTTATTCCTCTATAATTTTTACAATCTCTTTTGTCCCCTTTCCCTTTATATAAAGGGACTATACATGCTCTCCGCCAATCCCTAGGTACCTTCCCCTCTGTCAACATTTATAAACAAAATACCAACCCCTCAACACTAATCCCCCCCCGCTTTAAATTCCCGTCAGATCCATCATTCCAGCGCTTTTCCCCTTTCATTCTAGGGAATGCCCATGTACCCCCACCACATTTACATTTGCTCTTCTTCACTCCAAAAAGAGGGATACCCCCCCGGCCCAGTGCATGAAAAACTGCCTCCCTTTTTTCCCTCAACATTTAAAAAGTTCCTAAAAATATTCTCGCCATCTACCAAATACCCCCTCTCCCCTCACAAACCCCCCTACTCTGTTTTTTAACTGAAAAATCCATACTTTCCCTAGGCTTTTTTAAATTTTTAACTCACTCCAAAATTTTTTCTTATTTTCATTAAAAAATTTTTGACAGTGCCTCTCTCACTCTTTCATCTGCTCTCCTTTTGCCTCTCTCCCACTTCTTCACCCTTTTTTTTACTCTCCATATGTCTGTTTCTTATAACACTTCTCTTTTTTAAAAACCCTCGTAGCTACCTTTTTCTCTTTTAACACACCTTTTTTTCACATTTTCCCCCATACTCCTCTTTCCTCCCGCCCCCACCCTCCCATAACCACAAACTTTTGCCCCACATTCAATACTGCATTTTTTAAAAAAAATTCCAACCCTCTTTTAACCCCCCCCCTACCATTTTTTGCACTAGCCCACCTTTCTGCCAAAAGTCGTTAATCTCGCCCCAAAATTCCCCTCCCTTAGTTTTTACACTTTCACCTCCCCTTACTTGTTGTTTCCCCCTTTCCCCTTTTCCCTCTCCTCTTCTCTAATGTAGCTACAAAATAAATAATGACCGAATATAAGTTGCCCCTCATAAACATTACAACCGGGCCTACCCACAACCTTTTATCCACCAATACATAAACTAACAAAATACTTATTACGTCTACATCATACCTTTTATATTTTTTTTTCTCTTTTCATAAAAATTATTACTTTTTACCCAAATTTTTTCACACATAGCCAAATTTAAAAGGCTCCCCCCTTTACATTTACCCCTGGGATCCAAATTTACCTACTATTTCCCCCCTATAAAAATTTTTTTCCCCCCTTTTTGCTGAAACCCCAACCCCCCCCATTATTTTCCCCACTTGATTTAAAACTCCCCCCCGCATTCACTCAACATTTCCCCCGAATCTCTTCTTCCCCCTACACTTCTCTCTTCTCCAGGGCTAAACCTTTCTATAACCCCCTTTTCACATCCAATCTTTTTTTACTCCACTAACCCGAATTTTTACATTTGTAGTCCCCTTTTCCTGCCATAGCTTTTCCTTCAACATTATTGCTACTCCCTTTTTTACTCTAACCTATTTGAAACCCACCAATCCCATTTTTTCCTCCCACCCCCCAGCTTTGTTTCACTTTTAAAACCAGGACATCCAGTTTTTTTCTTTAACACCACAATCATCTCTTTCTTATCATTTGCACAACACCATGCACATTCAGGGCTTCCCACTTTTACAATTTTCTTCTTTTTATTCTTTTTAGTAATCTTTACAGGAAAAGGGGTTACTAGCCCATTGTTCCCGGCATTTTAGTTGACTTTTACAACACGCATGGCTTACGGAGGAAAGATTCTTATTCCACTTCCCCATGGATATAAAAGGAAAAGTAATAAGACCAAGAACTATTAAGATAAAATCAAAGAAAACTCAGATGAGTGTGTATAAATAAACATGTACATGTATGTGTAGTGTGACCTAAGTGTAAGTAGAAGTAGCAAGACATGCCTGTAATCTTGCATATTTATGAGACAGACAAAAGACACCAGCAATCCTACCATCATGTAAAACAATTACAGGCTTTCGTTTTACACTCACTTGGCAGGACGGTTGTACCTCCTTGGGTGGTTGCTATCTACCAACCTACTACCTTATGTACCATATGTACAGTATAAGTGAATGACATTCTTTGAAAATTGCCTCTTATATTGTCTGAGACATATATTGCCTCTCCTCACTAAGCAACAGAGTTCCAGTCCTAAGACCTCATCGGTAAATGAGAAGTGAGAAGCATACTATAATGGGTGTGGGTTTGTGTCAACCATCTTTGTTATTTTAATGTCACCTTTGCACCATTTACAGAATTTCTGGTATATTTTTAAATGTTTATACAGTACCTAGGTAGTAGGTTGGTAGACAACAACCACCATCACTGCGCGTCCTCGTTCGTCGGACACAATCTCTCCTCCTGCGCTTCTTGCGGAGCCCAGGTTGGAGCATCTCCCTTCAGTGGGTTCCTGCCCATGTTGGAATCTGGGGTAATGAAGTGGCAGATCAGGCGGCCTCCCTCGCGCACACACTTCATACTGTTACCCCTCTTGCCCTGGGCCACAGTGATTTCACAAGGGCTGTTTGGAAGGGAATCCGTCATCAGTGGCAAGAGGGCCTTGCACATTCCCTCTCTTCTTCGGCGTTGGGCTCTGTCCGAACTTTTAATGGCCCCTGCCCTTGGGCTCGCCATCCCAACCGCTCGGTGGACGTTGCACTGACTCGCCTTCGAGTCGGGCACTCGCGATTGGCAGCTCATCTATATCGCCTTCGGATGACGGACTCTCTGTACTGCCCGTGGTGTCCCCTCACAGCCTGAGATGGTGGAACACTTCCTGCTGTGGTGCCCATATTATCACTCTGCACAGACTATTCTCCGTGCGGCCTTGCGCACACTTGGGGTGCACACTTTCACTCTACCTGTCCTGCTCAACAGGGAGGGGTTTCGATCTCTGGACCGTCAGGAGATATTGGCTTGTACCTGCTCCTTCCTGCTGGCTTCAGGGCGTATCAGAGACATGATACATAGTTATTAGTCAAGACATTCTTCCACTTTGGTCGATATTCCCTCTCCTAGCACTGGACGGCCGGGCTCGATACGGCGTATGCTGTCAGTGGCCCTGAAACCCAACAGAAGAAGAAGGAGAAAGACAGCAACTACCCAGGGAGGTACTACCGTCCTGCCAAGTGAGTGTAAAACTGAAGCCTGTAATTGTTTTACATTATGGTAGAATTGCTGGCGTCTTTTTTTTTTTTCTGTCTCATACACATGCAAGATTTCAGGTACGTCTTGCTACTTCTACTTACACTTAGGTCACACTACACATACATGTACAAGCATATACATGTATATACACACCCCTTTGGGTTTTCTTCTATTTTCTTTCTAGTTCTTGTTCTTGTTTATTTCCTCTTACCTCCATGGGGAAGTGGAACAGAATTCTTCCTCCGTAAGCCATGCGTGTTGTAAGAGGCGACTAAAATGCCGGGAGCAAGGGGCTAGTAACCCCTTCTCCTGTCTATATTACTAAATGTAAAAGGAGAAACTTTCGTTTTTCCTTTTGGGCCACCCCGCCTCAGTGGGATACGGCCGGTGTGTTGAAAGAAGTTTATACAGTAGTATAGTACTGTATATAGTAATAAACAGAACTGAGGAAATCAGCTCTAATATGCACTATTTGGGTATGCATACTGGTCAAAGAGCCCGTCGTAAGTCCAAGTCATTGATAAATGAGTACAACGCTAAGTGAGGAGAGGCTGTAAGAACAAAAATTATTTGAATTACTCTAACTCTGGCATTCTTTCTGCAATATTCATGTAATATTATCTGACTTTTATTCAAATCCCCCCATCTTTCATGAACCTTATTTTCCCCAAGTATGCAGGTTTTTATATGGCTGTGGGTATCAAACACTCCTGTGAAGAACTTGTCTTTGAGACAACAGGGTCCCTATTCACATCCTACCCTAGCCACCTATAACAAAACAAAGGAGATTCAGAATATCTGTTATGGTCCAAACCTTAGAAATGTACTAACTGGTTTTTAATATATACTTGTTAAAAATATCAATTATGACAGTAATACTGTACTATACATCATGCAATTACGTATGACTCGAACCTGTGATAGTCAAGTGCCCAGTCTCCGGCATTAGTGTAGTTGCTGATAGTGTTGCTACACACAGGTGACACCATCTTCTGAAACAAAGATGATAAATGACAGAACAGATATATTTTGTGATTGATGGGAGTAAAAACAAAATGAAATGCTGTAACAAGAGAAATAACAGGAGTGCCATTATTATGTACATTGCTTCCCTTGGCAATTTCTGTATACAGTAATGATATATGATGCAACAGCTATATTTCTTGACAATACAACAAAAAAAAGTGAAACGAATCTTATACATCCTTGTACTGACAAATGTCTAAGCAGATATAAACCGTAACTACATACGTACTGTTATGAGGCCATGCTGTTCCAAATGAGTGCGTTTTTATACAAAATATACAAGAGAATATCAGTAATGATTATCTTAATCTCAGCAAACAGGTGAATAGGCGAGTACATTCCCAAACTAAAAATACATAATTAAAAAATACCATAATGAAAAAATACAAAAATGGAAATACCTGACTGCTTTCAGTTGTTATTTTTTCACAGAGGTATTATTCATACCTGCTGTCATGCATTTTATAGATTTCTGCCATACTGTGAATAATACATATCACACTCAATTTTCATACTACAATTTTTTCTAAAATCATGTTTATGACACTTGAAAAATTATATACGCGTATACAGTATGACAACAATTTCAAAATACTGCAGGAAATTCTTTGATATCAAAATTAATCTTAACTCAGCAGTTGTTTGTTAAAATGAATTGCACAAGATGTAACTGTGAAGTTATACTTCAATATCTAATTTAGTGTAATAACACAAGAGAGGTAATCATGGTCACTAAATTTTTGTGGTTTCATTAATAATACAGTATTCAAGTTTTTATATTTTCACAATAAAGTCATTCAGTACTCTTGTTAATAAAAAATATATATACACATACACATTCCTACCCACTAACACTCAAGTCAGCACTCACAAACTTAAATTAATCCTCAAAAGCTAAAACCAGTCCCACTAACAAGTGCACTAGAAACTATAATCACACAAAATCTGATTACATAAGACTAGCAAAACTAACCTGTAGTAGTGCTGGGTTAATCCATAGCAATATGTAATGGATTATGGGAGCCACATAACCCAACACTACCACGGCCCAGTAGAAACACACCACAACTGTCGACCATCCAACACCTAAAAGTACCAACATCACAATCCGTTACAATTCAGTAATTTTATTTCAGTTAGAGCAATCAAAAATAAAGTCCATATCTCAATATTAGTAAGTTACAATTGAGAAATTTAACATGACAGTATCCACATTGATTTACCTTTGTGAGGTCATCTAATAGTGAATACTACTACTACTACAAATTAAGATTTAAGTGATCCAAGTGAAAGATACTCTATGCTGTATGACATTTCTGTACTAAATGAATATGAGACATTGAAAACAGAGAGAACTAAAGATAACTCACTTCCTTTTTGGTCTCTTAGAAGTTTAATGCCAAATACAAGACACCCAAGGTTTCATACCACTCACCTCTTGCTATGGGAATTAGTCGCCAGACTGCAAGGGCTGCTGAGCTGCTGAACTGTGAAAGACAAGCCTCCAGGTAAGCTATGGGAGCTGCTATCACAAACAGGACTGCACACCATGCTGCCAGAAAGCTTCCTACAAACAAAAATAAGTTTTTACATACTGTAATATATTACAGTATGTACTGTTGTTATTTATACCAGTATACGAATTACTGTTACATCAATTAATAAAATTCCTGAGAAATAAACAGCAATAGTAACAGAGAAACCAGTTAGCCAGACTTGATTTTTGGAGGTTAAAAGTACAGTGCCTACACCCTGAAGGATGGGTAGGGTTGTTGCAGTTCAGTCATTTGGTACGTGATGCTATGCACTCCAGGAAAGACTGGCAAAGAATGTAAAATTCATCACATAGTTAACGAAAACGTTAGCTTGTACACCGTACCATAATAATGTTACATATTATGAGTAATTTATGAGATATTAAAAATATGTGAAATACACCTAGCTAACTGGTACAATACACTCTTATGTGCCAGTATGGACAAGCGAGATGGAATGTCAGAAGTTAGGCACAGCACATCCTGGCCAGCTAACACATACTCATTGTGTATCTCTTGTTGAATTCTGCATGGTGAACGAAAAGGTCTGCTGAAACAAAAACTCCCCAATTAGGTTAGATGCACCCCTGTGCTTAAGCCCCAGCAGAGCAGGACACCTTAACCTTCACCTGAGTCTTGTAACTGGTAAATATATGTAAATGGAAAAAATAGAGCTGGTGAATGATGCTGTAAACTGCCCTAAATCATCAAAATATGAAATAAAACAACACTTTGGCATGTTTTTCTTAATTTTTTAATGTTTCTCGTATTTTTAAAAAGTCATTTGAAATATTCAATAACATATTTTTAGACTTCATGTGATCAAGAGCCCCTCGGCAGCATCAAGGAACCTCCCTCGAGAGAAGGCATTAAGAAAGATTGCAATTTTCCTACTAGGGAAAGAATGGCTTCAGTTGGCAATTATTAGCAGCAGCAAAATACACTAAATATCAGTACACTGAAATTAGTAAGTGTCCCCATCCCCTTTAATGTGCCCAACTGGCAGAATAAGATGAAGATAAGCATCCCAGAGAGAATGGGGTGATATTTGTCACTGATGCTTAGGACAGAGGAAAGCAAGATGTCAATACTCAACTAACACCAGTGTTGGAGTCATCCTGGACAAGTCTTGTTTGTGACATAATAATAATAATCCAAGATAGACCAAAATATTGTCTATCTTTATTTCTAATTTGTTGATTAATTGTGAACTGTTCCAGCCACTACAATGTGACTTTCATTATTTAGATAGTGAATGTGAGACTATACCTGCTCCATATTCATATAGCAGGCGTGGTAATCGTAGAATGGAGGCTGCACCAATGATGAGAACCACGCCGCACACACCTGACACAACGCTGCTCCACGCCTCACCAGAGTCCTCACCACCCACTGTGTCTCCAGCCTCACCACTCAGGTACTGGAGAAATATGTACACCAACACACTTCACTAGTAAATTAGAGTCAAATAATAACACAGTAATGTATGGGTACACACCTGCGTGCTTCTCAAACTCATGCAAATGAATCCAAACACATGTAAATACACCAATAAAATTCAACAATAGAATACATTACTGATCAATTTTTAAAGATGCTCTCATATTGAGAGTTTCAACAAATTGCAAATTATTTTCACCTTAAAAGCAAATCGGAATTATAAAATGGATACGGAAAATTAAAACAATTAGCATATACAGTACTCAACAAATCATTGGTAATTAATTAAATTATGCATATTTGATTAAGAATAATGAGAAATAAGTTAAAAATGGAGGTAAGAGCGTGTCCAATTTGTGAAGAAGGGAATTCATGCATTTACACCTAAAAAAGTTAATGGAAAGGAATAGGAAAGAGGTACTTACAAGTATGATAGACACTGCTCTGGACAGCTGGGCAATGTAGGTAAGAATCAGGGTCAGAAAGGGCATCAAGGATAAGATAGTTATCCTTACTATAACTACACACATTTTCTATCATGCATTTTTTGTTGTTGTTAATCAGTAGAGTAGAATACTCTTGACAAGTTGGAACACAGCTTCTTAAATTACACAGTAAAGGTAAAGAGGCTTCACCCAAAAGCTCTAACAGAATTTGAACATCTTAATGTTTTCTAAGACTTGTCATGGAAAAATGTGTATTGTATATATGTGTGGTATGTATGTGTGGTATGTATGTATGTATGTATATTGTTTCAAACAGCAAACTTGCCAAAAGGTTTTCTGGAAAATTAGGTATGCTAAAGGTAGATCTGTTTGCATTATTATTATGGTCCTATGGGTAAATTAATTTCAGAATCAACAGACAAAATCTGTACTTGCAGAATTATTTGTTGGCAGTACAATCATGGAAAAACTAACCTCATCATTCAAATTTAACAATCAGCATAACAGGATCCCCTCCCCCCTCATTAAATCAAAGTTAAATTGAAGCTTCACTACTATATTCACAGAGAAGTGCTAAACTCATATATACATAGTTCATTACTGTAATATGGTAATAAATTAAATAAATAAATAAATAAATATATATATATATATATATATATATATATATATATATATATATATATATATTTTTTTTTTTTTTTTTTTTTTTTTTTTTTTTTTTCAACAAGTCGGCCGTTTCCCACCGAGGCAGGGTGACCCAAAAACAAAGAAAGAAAATCCCCAAAAAGAAAATACTTTCATCATCATTCAACACTTTCACCACACTCGCACATTATCACTGTTTTTGCAGAGGTGCTCAGAATACAACAGTCCAGAAGCATACACATATAAAGACACACAACATATCCCTCCAAACTGCCAATATCCCAAACCCCTCCTTTAAAGTGCAGGCATTGTACTTCCCATTTCCAGGACTCAAGTCCGACTATATGAAAATAACCGGGTTTCCCTGAATCCCTTCACTAAATATTACCCTGCTCACACCTCCACAGATCGTCAGGTCCCAAGTACCATTCGTCTCCATTCACTCCTATCTAACACGCTCACGCATGCTTGCTGGAAGTCCAAGCCCCTTGCCCACAAAACCTCCTTTACCCCCTCTCTCCAACCCTTTCGAGGACGACCCCTACCCCGCCTTCCTTCCCCTATAGATTATATATTTTCCCATGTCATTCTACTTTGATCCATTCTCTCTAAATGACCAAACCACCTCAACAACCCCTCTTCTGCCCTCTGACTAATACTTTTATTAACTCCACACCTTCTCCTAATTTCCACACTCCGAATTTTCTGCATAATATTTACACCACACATTGTCCTTAAACAGGACATCTCCACTGCCTCCAACCGTCTCCTCGCTGCTGCATTTACCACCCAAGCTTCACACCCATATAAGAGTGTTGGTACTACTATACTTTCATACATTCCCTTCTTTGCCTCCATAGATAACGTTTTTTGACTCCACATATACCTCAACGCACCACTCACCTTTTTTCCCTCATCAATTCTATGATTAACCTCATCCTTCATAAATCCATCCGCCGACACGTCAACTCCCAATATCTGAAAACATTCACTTCTTCCATACTCCTCCTCCCCAATTTGATATCCAATTTTTCTTTATTTTATATATATAATATATATATATATATATAATATATATATATATATTTATATATATATATATATATATATATATATATATATAATATATATATATATATATACGTATTTACATTTATTTATATCTCTAGTAAGGCTGATGCATGCAGGGGATGAGATGAAAAGCTGTAAGCCTTCTCCCTGAAAGCTGGCTGCCTTGGATCAAAGTCTAGCGCAAGCTGGACTCCAAGGTATTGGTCTAGTGTGGGTAGATTGGTAAAGCACTACGTACCTTGTTCCAAGGTTCATAAGTTCGAGTCTCCTTCAGCCAGAGATCAGTGTTTATGTATATTTCGCCTGCTCTTGCGAATTCCTTGCATATATATATAACTACAGAAAACATATGCACAACAATACCAAACCTTAAAGTGATCAGGTCACTGACTGTATAGCTACAAAAAACACAAGTGTTATACTAGCTCTTAGAAAGAGCTGGTCATAAACCACAACATGCATCTCTTCTCTGCTCTGAAACTTATTTGGAATCATGTTCATATAAAATAAATCCTTTGAATGAATAACACTAAAGATGAACTACGTATAAAAACTGCACACCAAATTTTTTTTTTTAAGTCAACTGGCAAGTGAATAGCTTTTAGTTCTATTGTCGATTCTTAGTTTAGCATCTACCTATCTAATGCTTGGTCATGAAATGGTCGACTAAAACAGTTTTTGTTTGCTGTGTTCCAACTATTGACGTAAAATACTAAGTGAAAGTAGCACAGAAAATGTAAGATGAAGTACAAGAAAAAATTTGAAATTAACTACAAATTGTTTAAGGACAAAGCTAGGGGTTTGAAACAAATGTAAACTGTCTTAACAATATAAACACTCTACACCAATCTCATAAAACCATTGTCCTGGTCAAGAACTTGCATCAAAAATCAGTTTTACAGTGGTCAGAAAATTGTAGCCGAATGCACAAAAATCCATAATTGCCAAGAAACCCATAATAAAAAATTATGGACTGTATATACATACTTTTCAAAACTAACATTTTATAACTGTACATTAATATAAAAAGTAACACTCACAAACATGCTTTGGCAAACATGGGAAAAAATATTTGTTTTATTCTTTTTTTAACAAATTTTTAAGCTACAGTAAAAGGGTATTTACAAATAAAATTATTTTATTTAAAAGTGAAAGGGAAAATTATATATACATATACTGTATATGGAGTACAAGGTTATAACTGTTTGAGGGAAGTGCACTGATGGCTAGGTGAAGTGGGTATGGCAGGTGACGTGGGTATGGCAGGTGACGTGGGTATGGCAGGTGATGTGGGTATGGCAGGTGATGTGGGTATGGCAGGTGATGTGAGTATGGCAGGTGACGTGGGTATGGCAGGTGACGTGGTATGGCAGGTGAAGTGGGTATGGCAGGTGATGTGGGTATGACAGGTGACGTGGGTATGGCAGGTGACGTGGGTATGGCAGGTGATGTGAGTATGGCAGGTGACGTGGGTATGGCAGGTGACGTGGGTATGGCAGGTGAAGTGGGTATGGCAGGTGATGTGGGTATGGCAGGTGACGTGGGTATGGCAGGTGATGTGGGTATGGCAGGTGACGTGGGTATGGCAGGTGATGTGGGTATGGCAGGTGACGTGGGTATGGCAGGTGACGTGGTATGGCAGGTGAAGTGGGTATGGCAGGTGATGTGGGTATGGCAGGTGACGTGGGTATGGCAGGTGACGTGGGTATGGCAGGTGACGTGGGTATGGCAGGTGACGTGGGTATGGCAGGTGAAGTGGGTATGGCAGGTGATGTGGGTATGGCAGGTGATGTGGGTATGGCAGGTGACGTGGGTATGGCAGATGACCGTGGGTATGGCAGGTGACGTGGGTATGGCAGGTGATGGGTATGGCAGGTGACTTTGGGTATGGCAGGTGATGTGGTAGGCAGGTGACGTGGGTATGGCAGGTGATGTGGGTTTTGGCAGGTGACGTGGGTATGGCAGGTGATGTGAGTATGGCAGGTGACGTGGGTATGGCAGGTGACGTGGGTATGGCAGGTGAAGTGGGTATGGCAGGTGATGTGGGTATGGCAGGTGACGTGGGTATGGCAGGTGATGTGGGTATGGCAGGTGACGTGGGTATGGCAGGTGATGTGAGTATGGCAGGTGACGTGGGTATGGCAGGTGACGTGGGTATGGCAGGTGAAGTGGGTATGGCAGGTGATGTGGGTATGGCAGGTGACGTGGGTATGGCAGGTGACGTGGGTATGGCAGGTGAAGTGGGTATGGCAGTGATGTGGGTATGGCAGGTGATGTGGGTAATGGCAGGCGACGTGGTATGGCAGGTGAAGTGGGTATGGCAGGTGATGTGGGTATGGCAGGTGACGTGGGTATGGCAGGTGATGTGGGTATGGCAGGTGACGTGGGTATGGCAGGTGAAGTGGGTATGGCAGGTGACGTGGGTATGGCAGGTGAAGTGACTAATGTTGGTGTAGGTGAGGCGAGTATTGGAGAGGGTTAGTGTTGATTAGAGTGGTATGAATGTTGGAGAAGTTTAATGTTGGTGAGGGTGGGATGAATGTTGGAGAGGGTTAATTAATGTTGGTGAGGGTGGGTTCAAGCACCATTATTACTTGCAGGCTTTTTTCATTCCCCTCCCGGTGTGTCCACAATTTTTCCTTTCTCTCTACTTCTGTCCATCCTTGCCTACACAAAAGGGTCTCTCTCTCCACAATTTCTGCCTCACTGGAGTGGTTGAGTGCAGGTGTAGCTCTGAGACTCCCACACGTACACTTCTCAAGCCAAAATTCCCTCCCGCCAGCAGGGAGGACCTGCCTATACCTCTTTTGGTTGTGTTGACGTGGTGAAGACGGGTCTATAATGTAGTATATAATAAATAAATAGTCTATATCCAAAAATAAAACTGAAAAAAATATAATGTAATCAATACAGTTACTGCTCAAACCCTAATGTTCTTAAACTTGAGGTGAGCACTTATTCATATTGTGTTTGTGTATGTATTTGTGTGTTTACCTGGAGTTTACCTGGAGAGAGTTCCGGGGGTCAACGCCCCCGCGGCCCAGTCTGTGACCAGGCCTCCTGGTAGATCAGAGCCTGATCAACCAGGCTGTTACTGCTGGCTGCACGCAATCCAACATGCGAGCCACAGCCCGGCTGTGTGTATTTTTGTGGCTGGTGTGTGTGTGTGTGTGTGTGTGTGTGTGTGTGTGTGTGTGTGTGTGTGTGTGTGTGTGTGTGTGTGTGCACTCACTTATTTGTGGTTGCAGGGGTCGATTCACAGCTCCTGGCCCCGCATGTGTACTTACCTAATTGTGGTTGTAGGGGTCAAGTACGTGTTTACTCACCTATTTGTGGTTGCAGGAGTCGACTCATAGCTCCTGGCCCCGCCTCTTCACTGGTGTGTGTGTGTGTGCACGAACTTAACCGAGGCACTGTAGTAGGCCTACTGGCCTATGTTAGGCATTACTTACACCCTAACTGGGTGTACTCCCTGCTGGCCTCCTAGGCTCTATCGTACTAATTAATAAAGCTATGTATGGAATGTAAATGTGTGTTAAGTTTGGTACAGCTAATCAAAAAGAGCACAATTTAAACTACGCAGTATCTAGCAAGTGCCATTGAAGAAACAGTAATGACACACTGTGCAGTGAAGCGTATGATGAAACATTAGGTACAGTACAGTGTTAGTAAGGTGAAGTGTCAGGCGACACACTAGGTACAGTGTTAGTAAGGTGAAGTGTCAGGCGACACACTAGGTACAGTGTTAGTAAGGTGAAGTGTCAGGCGACACACTAGGTACAGTGTTAGTAAGGTGAAGTGTCAAGCGACACGCTAGGTACAGTGTTAGTAAGGTGAAGTGTCAGGCGACACACTAGGTACAGTGTTAGTAAGGTGAAGTGTCAGGCGACACACTAGGTACAGTGTTAGTAAGGTGAAGTGTCAGGCGACACACTAGGTACAGTGTTAGTAAGGTGAAGTGTCAAGCGACACGCTAGGTACAGTGTTAGTAAGGTGAAGTGTCAGGCGACACACTAGGTACAGTGTTAGTAAGGTGAAGTGTCAGCGACACACTAGGTACAGTGTTAGTAAGGTGAAGTGTCAGGCGACACACTAGGTACAGTGTTAGTAAGGTGAAGTGTCAGGCGACACACTAGTACAGTGTTAGTAAGGTGAAGTGTCAGGCGACACACTAGGTACAGTGTTAGTAAGGTGAAGTGTCAGGCGACACACTAAGTACAGTGTTAGTAAGGTGAAGTGTCAGGCGACACACTAGGTACAGTGTTAGTAAGGTGAAGTGTCAGGCGACACACTAGGTACAGTGTTAGTAAGGTGAAGTGTCAGGCGACACACTAGGTACAGTGTTAGTAAGGTGAAGTGTCAGGCGACACACTAGGTACAGTGTTAGTAAGGTGAAGTGTCAGGCGACACACGAAGTACAGTGTTAGTAAGGTGAAGTGTCAGGCGACACACTAGGTACAGTGTTAGTAAGGTGAAGTGTCAGGCGACACACTAGGTACAGTGTTAGTAAGGTGAAGTGTCAGGCGACACACTAGGTACAGTGTTAGTAAGGTGAAGTGTCAAGCGACACACTAGGTACAGTGTTAGTAAGGTGAAGTGTCAAGCGACACACTATGTACAGTGTTAGTAAGGTGAAGTGTCAGGCGACACACTAGGTACAGTGTTAGTAAGGTGAAGTGTCAGGCGACACACTAGGTACAGTGTTAGTAAGGTGAAGTGTCAAGCGACACACTAGGTACAGTGTTAGTAAGGTGAAGTGTCAAGCGACACACTAGGTACAGTGTTAGTAAGGTGAAGTGTCAGGCGACACACTAGGTACAGTGTTAGTAAGGTGAAGTGTCAGGCGACACACTAGTACAGTGTTTAGTAAGGTGAAGTGTCAAGCGACACACTAGTACAGTGTTTAGTAAGGTGAAGTGTCAAGCGACACACTAGGTACAGTGTTAGTAAGGTGAAGTGTCAGGCGACACACTAGGTACAGTGTTAGTAAGGTGAAGTGTCAGGCGACACACTAGGTACAGTGTTAGTAAGGTGAAGTGTCAGGCGACACACTAGGTAGAGTGTTAGTAAGGTGAAGTGTCAAGCGACACACAGTGAGGAGCAACACGGTACTGTGAACACGCAGGCAAGAAAGATACACTACAAGCGTCAACAGGAAGAACATTGTACAAGAGACATTCTTCAATAAAGCAGAGGATAAATAGTAGTGGTACAAGATATATAAACACGAGAGGCCACAACAGGGTACACAAGAGTACAGGAGGATGCACGACACATCAGAGGACACATGAAGATACACAGGAGTACTGGAGGATACACGACACATGAAAGGACACAGGAAGGTACACAAGAGTACAGGAGGATGCAGGACACATGAGAGAATACATGAAGATACACAAGAGTACAGGAGGATGCAGGACACATGAGAGGATACATGAAGATACACAAGAGTGCTGGAGGATGCAGGACACATGAAGGTACAATGAAGACAACGACACATGTAACAGAAAAATCTTTAACTTAGACACTGTGTGGTACTGAGCGAAGACAACGTTACTGCGGCGTGCAGCCAGGACATAAATACTCTGGAAGGTGGAGTCAGTGTCCAAGTTCAAAGTTGAGGGTCGCACTATTGTTGAAAGACTGGCTTGTTACCCGTCATCCACCTAGACAAACATGTTAGATTGGTATGTTACCTGTCATCCACCTAGACAAACATGGAAGACTGGTATGTTACCTGTCATCCACCTAGACAAACATGGAAGACTGGTATGTTACCTGTCATCCACCTAGACAAACATGGAAGACTGGTATGTTACCTGTCATCCACCTAGACAAACATGGAAGACTGGTATGTTACCTGTCATCCACCTAGACAAACATGGAAGACTGGTATGTTACCTGTCATCCACCTAGACAAACATGGAAGACTGGTATGTTACCTGTCATCCACCTTGACAAACATGGAAGACTGGTATGTTACCGGTCATCCACCTAGACAAACATGGAAGACTGGTATGTTACCGGTTATCCACCTAGACAAACATGGAAGACTGGTATGTTACCGGTCATCCACCTAGACAAACATGGAAGACTGGTATGTTACCTGTCATCCACCTAGACAAACATTCGCACCTTATGGTAAAATGTAAAACTCATCACCAAAGAAGACAGAAAGTGGGCGGCGGCGGCAGCGGCAGCGGCGGCGGCGGCGGCGGCGGCGGCGACGGCAGCGGCAGCGGCGGCAGCGGCGGCAGCGGCAGCAGCAGCAGTCATGAGTGCTCACAGTATATCACAATATAATCAAGATGCCTTTAACATGGCCGAACCATCAGCAAAGCTCATCTTACATGAATACTTACAGCAGCGAGATCTTCATCTCCGACCCGCACACTTACCTGACATTACGCACATTAACTATTCCTGTTGAGGTGACATCTCAGCCTACCAGCAACAGCGACACCCTCAATAGTCTGACCTACATAATATTCTCCGCCTAACTTTCCACCTTCACCTGATTTTCAGCCTTATCTTGGACATGGACCTGTAGAAAGCTTTCTATAGAGTGAAGATATTGCTCCAATAACAGCTCTTCCTGTTACATATGCCATACTTCCCATACCTGTCGGCAGTACGACTTACAGGAGTACAACACGGTACACAAAGGTATAGAAGGGTACACAAAGGTATATAAGGGTACACAAAGGTATATAAGGGTACACAAAGGTATAGAAGGGTACACAAAGGTATATAAGGGTACACAAAGGTATATAAGGGTACACAAAGGTATAGAAGGGTACACAAAGGTATAGAAGGGTACACAAAGGTCTATAGAAGGGTACACAGAGGTGTATTAAAGGGTACCGGGAGGTCTAATAGGCGAGAGGAGGATGCAGTAAGGTAAAGGGTTGTATAGGAGGCTGGATGTACTCACAGTACGGGCTGGTGAGTGGACCAGGGTGAGTGTTGAGCGATGACACTCATCAGAGGAGGCGGTGTCTTCCACTACGGAGGCTCCACTGTATGATGGCTCTGTCCACCAACCCACCAGTGGCCGCACCTGTAGGTAACCCACCACCCCTTAGTGCTGACCACCACCCCCTAGTGCTGACCACCACCCCCTAGTGCTGTTCAACACCCCCTAGTGCTGTCCAACATCCCCTAGTGCTGCCCACCATCCCTTGGTACTGACCATCTACCCTCAATGCTGCTCACCACCCCTTAGCGTTGCTTACGACCCCTCAGGGCTAAGGATTACCCTTTTCAATGAAGCTAACTTGTTCTCTATGAAGCTAATCGTTTTCTATGAAGCTATGTTGGTGGCCCCTCGTAAATCATCCCAGCTTGGGATGATTTACAATCGTCTTACATACTAACATGTGTAAATTACCTGAGGTAAACCCCCCAAAATTCAAAGTGACTTGTTTCCAGTGGTCCTGATAATTCCTGACGTCAGACATTTTTGTATCCACACAGTAATTTCAGGAGATGGCCTTTTTCTTGAAAAGTGGATGTTAAAAAAAAAAAACAGTGGCGGACATTTTTTTTTCGTGACAGTAATGTAAAAAATAATATTTACTGGCGAAACCTAACTCAGAATTCTCATTTAATCTAAAGTATTATTTATTAGCCAAATTCTACTAAATAAATATATTTTTCTTTATGTTCAGACTGATTTTCGCAGATTTATGACAATTTTTAACTCTCCTTATTTGACAGAAAACACCATTGTTTTTTAGACCTAAGTCACCAGTTCGGATATATATATATATATATATATATATATATATATATATATATATATATATATATATATATATATATATATATATACAGAATTCTTTTTAATCCGCGTTTTAATGGTTATAGTTTATATGTACGTCAGCCTTCATGACCTCAGGTTTAAGTCTTTACATTTATATTATTTTTGGGAGGGGTGAGAGTGGGGGTGGGTTGGGGAGGATGGAGGGGAGGTGGTACGTGGAGTGGTTAGTCTGGTCACCCATGGTTAGCCTGGGTGAACAAGCAGTGGTACTAGTTAGTTGCACACTTTAAAATTCCACTTGGAACAATGTCAGTGCAGGTGAGGTCAGCTGTTAGTAAACACACCTTAGAATGTTATATAATATTACAACAGTTGAACACTATATATCAGAGAAAGTGGTAGTGTTGGAAGACATGAGACGGGACTCCTGCACTCCCAGCCCCTCACTCACACCATCAACCCTTCTCTCATGTGTCTGAAATTGTCTTATTATCATTTTGTGAGTCACTGTGTGCACGTGAGGACACGTGTGTGTATGTGTACTCACCTAGTTGAGGTTGCAGGGGTTGAGTCCAAGCTCCTGGTCCCGCCTCTTCACTGGTCCCTACTAGGTCACTCTCCCTGAACCGTGAGCTTTATCATACCTCTGCTTAAAGCAATGTATGGATCCTGCCTCCACTACATCGCTTCCCAAACTATTCCACTTCCTGACTACTCTGTGACTGAAGAAATACTTCCTAACATCCCTGTGATTCATCTGTGTCTTCAGCTTCCAACTGTGTCCCCTTGTTACTGTGTCCCATCTCTGGAACATCCTGTCTTTGTCCACCTTGTCAATTCCTCTCAGTATTTTGTATGTCGTTATCATGTCCCCCCTATCTCTCCTGTCCTCCAGTGTCGTCAGGTTGATTTCCCTTGTGCGTGTGTGTGTGTGTGTGTGTGTGTGTGTGTGTGTGTGTGTGTGTGTGTGTGTGTGTGTGTGTGTGTGTGTGTGTGTGTGTGTGTGTGTGTGTGTGGTTCTAGACTACGGCACAGTCATCATCAGTAAAATCAAAGGAGCAACAACATGGCTCCGGGAGAATTAAATATATGAACTGACAAAGAAATATTGCAAACTTTGAAGACAGGATAAGAAGGGTAAGGAAAGGAAAATGAAGGGAAGGGAATGAGACGAAAAGGAGATGAAAAAAGGAAGACAAGAAGGAAGAAAGGAATTAATAACATTTTTTAAAGAGCACCAAACAGTAAAAAGAATTGTATATTTTTTAAAGAAAACTGAACAAGTGATGAACTATGACGAGAAAACCTGACGTGATAATTACTTACAAGACGAAGACAAACAAAATACGGACGATTTATTTTGACAATCAGCAATCAATTTGGAAAAAAAAGAGGTGCATAAAAGACAAAAGAAAGTACTTGATAGATGGTGAGATAGATAAATAGATGGGAGGAACTAACTGATACAAGATGAACTAGAACCCGAAGTGCACATAAAAATCAAGAAGTGTATAACCGTGTGTTTTGATGTTTGTGTTGCGGTGAGACGCCGCAAGCAGTGACCGGATTAATGCAACACTCAAGTGTGTTAATACTACTTTTACTAAGGCGACGTTTCGCCCACTGTGGGCTTTATCAAGCTTTATTTTAACAAGCGTTTAGCGTGGCTGGTTGTGAGAGTAGCAGACGGAGTGTCAAGTCTCCAGCACTCCTGACGCTGCATGACCCGCACGCAGAGCCGGATTAAGGCATGGGTTTTAGGTGCTCCAGCCCAAGGGCCTCTGCCAGCTGGAGGGCCTCCAGGTGCTGCAGTCCAGGGACCTCTGCCAGCTGGAGGGCTTCCTGGTGCTGCAGTCCAGGGACCTCCGCCAACTGGAGGGCTTCCAGGTGCTGCAGTCCAGGGACCTCCGCCAACTGGAGGGCCTCCAGGTACTGCAATCCAGGGACCTCTGCCAGCTGGAGGGCCTCCAGGTACTGCAGCCCAGGGATCTCCACCAACTGGAGGGCTTCCAGGTGCTGCAGTCCAGGGATCTCCGCCAACTGGAGGGCCTCCAGGTACTACAGCCCAGGGACCTCCGCCAACTGGAGGGCCTCCAAGTGCTGCAGCCCAGGGATCTCCATCAACTGGAGGGCCTCCAGGTGCTGCAGTCCAGGGACCTCCGCCAACTGGAGGGCCTCCAGGTACTACAGCCCAGGGACCTCACAGTACCTATGGCCCAGGGACCTCACAGTACCTGTAACACAGGGGCCTCACAGTATCTGTAGCACAGGGGCCTCACAATACCTATGGCCCAGGGGATTACAAAATCTTAATCCACCTCTGCCTACACGGGTTTAGCGCCTTACATAACTATAATAATTCTATTATATAATTTTTATTACACATATTCTTACTAAAATAACCTGTTCCTACCGATATATTAGTTCTTTATCATTATTATTATTATTATTATTATTATTATTATTATTATTATTATTAGGCTTATAATCTATGAAGCACGCTGTGGTATGACAGTTTAAGGGGATCCCTAACATCAATGAACGGCTTGCTACCAAACTATAATTCAGTCTATCGTAATACATCTTATATGCACGCTGATGTGTACGCTCACACACACACACACACACACACACACACACACACACACACACACACACACACACACCCTGCAACATAGCCGGGTGCATACACCCTCATCGCCCTTGTCGGAGTTCATAGGTTCGAACCTAAAGCGTTAAAAACACATATCTACTATGTGGCGTTGGTGCTGTGTTTCATTCCCGGGTGTCTGAACCCATTTAGGTGAACCTCTGGCAGAGACCAAGAAGTGAACCCGGCAAGGATCTGTAACAGCGTCTCGTGTAAAGGTTCAGTTCCGTGGCTCGTCCTGACGTCTAACTAGAAACTGATTCACTGAGCCAAAATATGTTCGTTGATGAGTATGATGACTATGATGATGATAATGAACTTAATAATGATAGTGGTATTGGTGATAATGACGGTGATCATGGTCGTCATGATACAAATGAGGCACTTTTGGCATTCGGCTAAAACTGGACTGGAATCCTAGGATAGGATCCTTAAATAGAACCCTTGAGCAGAATCCTCAAATAAACCCTACAATAGAATCTATAAACAGAAACCTGAACCAGAATCCTTGAACAGAACCCCGAAATTGAATTCTTAAACTCGACTTATAGAAGAGTCTAGGTGAGGATTGTTAGTGTTTACACCGTTAAGAAAATACGTGAAGATGAACACTGCAGCAGGTCTACTAAGTAGGCCCATTCTAGGCAGGTTCAACTCGTGTACACCTCAAAGGACTAGAGACTTACCTGTATGTCTGGGTCACCTCTGGTTGGCAGGGAGGCAGCTGAGGAAGGCCTGGTATCAGCGTCACTCTTGGCTACAGCGTGACCGTTCACCACTACACCTTCACCACTGGCTGGGGGCAGATGGTTCAGGTCACCGTTGGTGATACCATTGGCTTGGTGTTGCTGGAGGTCGGTATTGGTGGTGTAGGTGTGTGGAGTGTTGGAGTAAGTAACCTGCTGGTCATTCACAACGATGGTAACTGACTTGTTCTTCTCGTGGGTGGTCTTCTTGGCTTCCCCGTTGGCGGTAGGCTTCGAACTGGATTTTCTGGGAGCCGCGTTAGTTGTCTTTCTGTCCGCCTGCTTTTGCTCCTCCCGGCTCTCCTGCTCGATGTGGGAGGGTACGTCACCGATGGGGATTGTGGTGATGACCTTTGGGTGACTCGGTGATCTAATGTTACCTTCCTGCAAGTGGCGGGGACTCGAGTCACCGGGAAAACCTCCGTTCACCACCACCAACACGCCTCCACTGCGGCGATCTGTAACGTGAATTATACAATATCATGGAAATACAAGATTATCTAGGCACACTCAAAAACTCTCTCTCTCTTATTATTATTATTGTAATGTACAAACATTTTTTTTACGCTTTACAACAAAATTAACGCATGTTATCTCATCCCCAGAGGCCAATACTTACCTGGAACAGGTGGAGTGGCCTCCTCGGCCGAGGTTTCCGACGCTGGCCTCCAATACCTGGAGGGCGTGGTAGAGGGACTCACCGCCGGTCTGTGAGGGCTGGTCTCTGGTCTTTGTAGACATGGCGCCGCTCTCTGAGGACTGGTGACTGGCTCCCTCTGTAGGTGTGTAACTAAGGTCTGCTCAATGTTCCGTAAATTTTGTAGGCTAATGGGTAGTTTCTGTTGACTGATTGGTACACTCTTCTGTGGACTGACTGGTACACTCTTCTGTGGACTGACTGGTACACTCTTCTGTGAACTGACTGGTACATTCTTCTGTGGACTGACTGGTACAATTTTCTGCGGACTAACTGGTGCAGACTTGTAAGGAGTAATTGGTACAGATATCTGCGGAATGACTGGTGCAGGCTTCTGAGGACTGACTGGTATCTTTTGAGGACTGATTGGCACTTTCTGTGGACTGATTGGTACAGTCTTCTGTGGAGTGACTGGCATGTGCATACCTACCAGCATTTGGTGAGTACTGACGTGCATTTTGTGAGGACTGGTGGACGAAGAGTGAGAGCCTCCAGCACCTGGGTGGTGTGGACTGGTAGCACTAGACTGCGGTGCAGATGCTACACGCACCGTGGTTGTAGCTGCCTCTACACTGCTGCCCTCGACGCTATCCAACACTGGTGCAGCTGACACACGCCTGGCTGGGCTGGAACCTGTGCTGGAAGCCTCCAACTCCGTCCTGGAGGGAGACTTGGCTGGTGACGAGAAGGAAGTAAAGCTCTGGACCTTCCTGGCTCGAGTTCCTGGCACCGCAGCACTCCTCGCCCAGGGTACCTCCTTCCTGGGAGTGGACGATGATGCTTGAGGAACATCGTGGAGGCTGCAGACCGAAGTTGCCCCTGGAACCTCCCTTCCAGGGGTGCTGGTGGAGGAGGCGGGGGTATCTTCATGGAGCGATGAGGAGGGGAGGGAGGTAAGAGGCGTGGAAGAGAGTGACGAAGATGAGGAGGGGGACGAGGAGGCCTGGGTGGGGGACGATAAATGGGGTGGTGACGATACTAGAGGTAATTCGTCCCCCCTCACATTCACTCGTCCTGACGCATCACGCTGAAACAACACAATAACATTCATTGCTGATATTGCACAAGACCAACAAGTTGACACGACACGTGTGCAACACTTCGCTATCTTTATTGCCAAAACGCATCGCCTGCGCAGCAGACTGCATCAGCTGAATAAATCCAAAACAACAGAGACAGTAGGCAAGTGACAGACCTTGCATACCTCTGCTCAAGTGCATAAATATATCCAGATGTTCCACTGTGTCTTAATCATCAAGAATTAGTGCACTCAGAAAACTAGACGTCTTATGTCTTAATGACAAACCACTGACACTCTTGCCACTAACAAACTTAAGCCACCGACATACCACTTCCACTTGCCAGACACTGTGTAGTGGGGTGTAAAACGTGGTACTTGCCATCACTACACCAAGCAGGTAGTAATGAATTAGCTACCACCATACCCAGAAGGTCGCACTGTACTAGCTACCACCAGCAGCTAGTCTAGTACTGCACCTATAGTAGTTACTCTCCTGCCTATCCTCATCTATCCTCTGGCTCACTAGTGAACATCCTAAGAAACGTGTGTTCGTGCCTACCACACTAATATCGTGGATAACCTCAGCCATCACGAACGCAGTCACCAGGTGACTCAAGGTAAACAAACTCGCCTCTAACAGCACGGTCATGGACCCTAAAGCCACTAACACAGCACGGTCACGGACCATAAGACCTCTAATATAGTACGTTCACGGACCATCGCATGATGGTTAGGGTAAGACATGGTATAAAATAGACAACTGTGAAATAAGACATGAATGCAAAGGCCTGAAGGAAACATTCGTAGCAGAAATTAAATATCCTAACATGCTGCTCTGTGAGTGTACATGTGTACACCATCATGTTAAACCACCAGCTGCACAAGTGTCAATAGCTGCACATGTGCCAACACACATTCAGGTGACAGTATGGAAGCAACTGTTAACAGAGACGGAAATAAACTGTTGTAACTGATACATTAATACACCAACTTGTATATCCAGTAGGAGAGAGAGAGAGAGAGAGAGAGAGAGAGAGAGAGAGAGAGAGAGAGAGAGAGAGAGCTGGTGACCCTGGAACAATACATCTCAAGGTCCCACATAACTCCAGGTGTTCCACTAGGCAGGACCTTACCAACCACTGTTAAGGTCGAGTTGTCAATGTGATCAGACCACACCTGGCTACCCTCACAGTGTTGTCAGTGTGACCAGGCCACACCTAGCTACCCCTCACAGTGTTGTTAGTGTGACCAGACCACATCTGACAACCCTCACAGTGTTGTCAGTGTGATCAGACCACACCTAACTACCCTCACAGTGTTGTCAGTGTGACCCACCACACCTGACTACCCTCACAGTCAAATTTTAATCGTCATCTTATGGGATTCACATATCCCTAATAACAGTCGTGTAGGCCTCTACAAATTAAGACTGTTTTAAGCCTGGTGTTGGAAGCTCAGACCTCTCCAAATCTCAAAGATTTGCTAAGTTATCCCATGAATTAAGGGACGATCCTAGACTTCACCTTACGAAAGTAGACAAAGCAAATGGGTTAGTAGTTATGGACAAGGTAGATTATAGGAGAGAAATAAACATGATATTAGGAGACAGAAGCTAGAGGATCAGCCACATATAACAGGAAGGCCACTGCAATGGATCAGAGAATACCTAACAGGGAGACAACAGCGAGTCATGGTCCGTGATGAGGTATCACAGTGGGCGCCGGTGACGAACGGGGCCCCACAGGGGTCAGTCCTGGGACCAGTGCTATTCCTGGTATATGTGAACGACATGACGGAAGGGATAGACTCAGAAGTGTCCCTGTTTGCAGATGATGTGAAGTTAATGAGGAGAATTAAATCAGACGCGGACCAGACAGGTCTACAAAGAGACCTGGACAGGCTGGATGTGTGGTCCAGAAACTGGCTCTTAGAATTTAACCCCGCCAAATGCAGTCATGAAGATCGGAGAAGGGCAAAGAAGACCGCAGACAGAGTATAGGCTAGGACAAAGACTGCAAACCTCACTCAAGGAGAAAGATCTAGGAGTGAGTATAATACCGAGTACATCGCCAGAAGCACACATTAACCAGATAACTGCTGCGGCATATTGCCGCCTGGCAAACCTGAGAATAGCGTTCCGGTACCTCAGCAAGGAATCGTTCAAGACTTTATACACTGTGTACGTCAGGCCCATACTGGAGCACATAGCACCAGTTTGGAACCCACACCTGGTCAAACACGTCAAAAAATTAGAGCAAGTGCAAAGGTTTGTAACAAGGCTAGTTCCAGAGCTAAGGAGAATGTCCTATGAAGAAAGGTTAAGGGAAATCGGTCTGACGACACTGGAGGACAGGAGGGTTAGGGGAGACATGATAACGACATACAAAATACTGCGTGGAATAGACAAGGTGGACAGAGACAGGATGTTCCAGAGATGGGACACAGAAACAAGGGGTCACAATTGGAAGCTGAAGACTCAGATGAGTCAAAGGGATGTTAGGAAGTATTTCTTCAGCCACAGAGTTGTTAGGAAGTGGAATAGTCTGGCAAACGATGTAGTGGATGCAGGAACCATACATAGTTTTAAGATGAGGTATGATAAAGCTCATGGAGCAAGGAGAGGGAGGACCCAGTAGCGGTCAGTGAAGAGGCGGGGCCAGGAGCTGAGTCTCGACCCCTCCAACCACAATTAGGTGAGTACAGAGGAAGTAACGTGCCCCTTAAAGAAGTAATTGGAAACCTCATTTAGAGAACGTTTCGCTCGCTATTAGTTCTACAGTGATCGTAATAATTACCAATATACTACAGTGCTCTGTTTATGCGTTCCTGTCTACCACTACAATTCTACCTGTCGCTGGGATTTACGTGGCGCAGGGGATTACAGGAGATTACCACAGTTAATCCCCTGCATTAGAAATATTTCCTGAGAAGGCATTACCCAGAGCACCTGCCTAGCATGGGCCAGTAGGCCCATGAGAGGGCGGGGTGAGAGGGAGGGAGAGCAGGTTGAGAGGAATGAAGCAGGAGTATGGTAAGAGGGAAGAAGAGTAGAGGAGGGAGGGAGAGTAGGGTTAGTGGGAGGGAGGTAGAGTAGGGTAAGTGGGAGGGAGGGAGAGAGGATGCACCACAGTATTGATTCCTCTAGGGTGAAGGAGAGCCAAGGTCGATTCCTTCACCTTTTCCCTTCCTTCCCTCCACTCGTGATATGGGGCAGGGGTACGTGATATGGGGCAGTGGTACGTGATATGGGGGCAGTGGTTACGTGATATGGGGGCAGGGGTACGTGATATATATGGCAGGGGTACGTATTATTATTATAATCAAAAAGAAGCGCTAAGCCACAGGGGTACGTAATATGTGTTAAAGTAGACTATGCCTGGAGAGAACGTGTATAATCATTACAACAGTTGTAAACAATACGATCAGGTACAAGAATAAGACACGTGAAACACATGAGTATATTGTGGAGATGTTTCGCTTGCTCCACACATTTCTTCAGTCGAATGCAGATGTTGCTTGTATGTTTTAGAAAAGACTAGTGAAGAGGTGGGTATATGGTGGTCAGTCTTTCCATAGCCTCAGTCAGTGAGCGAAGTTTATTAAGGCTTAGGGACTAACCACCTCACATTTACCTCGACACTGCTTAGATAATATAAATAATGTATTTCCTTTCTGCAGTATATAGGTAATTAAATACTGTTAGGGACAAAAGAAAGCCACTAGCATGCAGTGCATTTCGGGCAGACTAATCATCTGCTGACTCCACCTCTGTGTGCGTGCGTGTTACTTATCTCTGTGATAGTTGATTTCTCCAAGACTGATGGACTGACTGCATCATCTTCATTTCACTACTACACCTGCTGCCTCTGTATTTGACTGAAGAACCCTACTGTCTAGGCGAAACGTTTCAACAATAAAGATACCCAACCGTTGTACATGTGTCTTATCATCAACTTGTCCGTATTTTATACTATTTTCAGCGCATGTGTGATAGTGTTGATAGTCACCATGAGAGCAGACTGTAAACAACGTCTCTGGTGGTGGATAGTCACCATGAGAGCAGACTGTAAACAACGCCTCTGGTGGTGGATAATCACCATGAGAGCAGACTGTAAACAACGCCTCTGGTGGTGGATAGTCACCATGAGAGCAGACTGTAAACAACGCCTCTGGTGGTGGATAGTCACCATGAGAGCAGACTAAACAACGCCTCTGGTGGCGGATAGTCACCATGAGAGCAGACTGTAAACGCCTCTGGTGGCGGATAGTCACCATGAGAGCAGACTGTAAACAACGCCTTTGGTGGTGGATAGTCACCATGAGAGCAGACTGTAAACAACGCCTCTAGTGGTGGATGGTCACCATGAGAGTAGACTGTAAACAACGCCTCTGGTGGCGGATAGTCACTCTCTCTGATGACTACTTTAACACCTTGCAAGTTGACGAGGTGGTTGTGGAAGTCTCGGTACATAGTGCAGAGATTTTATTTCTACATGATATACCATACCGCCAAGTTGATGAGTTTACCATCGTAAACCATTTATAATATGATACATGTTTAAGACGGCAACACCATTTCAGTCCAGGTTTTGTTTAGTCTCTCTTACATGTTTAATAAGTGTTACCTTAGGCATTGTCACACTTCCAGAAGTCCCTTCGTCTTCCCCTCACATGTATATGTGATGTTGGGCATTGTCACACTTCCAGAAGTCCCTTCGTCTTCCCCTCACATGTATATGTGATGTTGGGCATTGTCACACTTCCAGAAGTCCCTTCGTCTTCCCCTCACATGTATATGTGATGTTGGGCATTGTCACACTTCCAGAAGTCCCTTCGTCTTCCCCTCACATGTATATGTGATGTTGGCTATGTTCATTTTATTCTTGGCAAGGTTAGAAAGATATATGGTATAAAATACCCACACGACGGAAAAAAAATGAAAAAACACAAATGCAGTATAATGCGTTGCTTTATTGATGTTTCGCCCATACAGTGGGCGTTATCAA